AGGGTGCTGGCGGAAGCGGGGAGGCAGTGTCTGCGCGTGCGCGAGCCGTTTCCAGGACAACGGGCGGGGCTGGGGCACGCGCCAGCGACGGATCCGGCGGCCTCGGGGGCGGGAGGTTCGAATCCAGGCGCTGCCCGCTCTTTGGCCTTGAGGTTGAGCCTCCGTCTTGCCTGGCCTCAGTTTCCTCCTCTGTGAAATGGGCAGCACCTTTAGACCCGCGGACTCGGCCGGGATGCTTGGAAGGGACAGAGTTCAGTTGCGCTGCTGAAGGAAAGGGCCTTTGGGTCCTACCGGTCACTAGAGGAGGCAGTAAACGCCAGGGACTGGCCTTGCAACCGGTGACCTTGTGACACGCAGTGATAATTTGGAATTTACCTTCACCTGCTGCCCAGGTCTGTGGCGGGGCCCTTGCTCCCCTTCCTTAAACCCACATGCCACCTCCTCCAGGCAGCCCTCTCTGGTTTCTGGCTTCCCAGCAGAAGCAGGTTCTCAGCCTTCTCGAGTCCAGCCTTTGTTCTCTAGGCGGAGGCCATGTGGGAAGTGCCCACGTGAGGGGCATGGCAGGAATAGAGCTTGACCAGAAGGGATGGGAAGATATCCCTAGGCAGGGACGAGGTTGGGATGTGGTGACTGCTTCCTGGCTCTTGTTTAGAGTCAGGGTCCAGGTGTTGCCGGTAGAAATAGGGCTCCTCCGGGGGGTCAGAAGACCCAGGCATGGGAGGATGGGGTGTAGTGGTAAGATTTATTGGGGGAGAGCCCTAGCTGGTTTGGCTCAGGGGATAGAAAGTTGGCCTGCGGACTGAGGGTCCTGGGTTCAATTCCGGTCAAGGGCACATGCCCTGGTTGCGGGCTTGATCCCCAGCAGGGGGGTGCAGGAGGCAGCCGATCAATGATCCTCTCTCATCATGGATGTTTCTCTCTCTCCCTCTCTCTCCTGTCTGAAATCAATAAAATATCTACACTAATAAAAGAGAAACATGGTAATTAGCGTACGACCGATACCCTTTTCATTGGCTAATCAGTGAGCATATGCAAATTAACTTACAACCAAGATGGCGGCTAATTTGCATATGTCGGCTCCAAGCCACAGACTGAGGCTTTAGGCCTGGGTAAGGGAGGAGCCAGCCAGCGATCCTTGAGCCAGCGATGGTTGATGGCGGTGATGGCGGGGGAACCGGGGTGGAGCCAGCCAGCGATCATAGATAGTGGCGGCGGGGGGGGGCTG